TCTGTCTGTCTGTCTTTCAGTCTGTCTGTCTGTCTTTCAGTCTGTCTGTCTTTCAGTCTGTCTGTCTTTCAGTCTGTCTGTCTTTCAGTCTGTCTGTCTGTCTTCAAAACAATTCCATTGATACTTTCTCCCTATGAAGTAGAGATTAAGTTGTGTAATCCTTCTCGAAAAAACGTTGAATTATTGACAGAAAAACCCTTAATACATGTCCCTCTTTCCAAAAAGGTTCATAAATTCAGTAGCTAAATTTAGAAAGAATACTCTATCACGTTGTGTAGACGGACTTCATGTTTTGTGGGTCGTTGATACAGAAAAAATGAAAGACGGCAAAGCGTCTGACCGTCTGTCAGTCTGTGAATACCACTAGCAGCTAAACCATTCGGCCGATTTTCTACAAAATTGATATTCCCCAATCGATCTTGCTGATGTCATGGTCCCTTGAATTTGAATCCAATATTGCGCTATTGCAATTTGGGGCGTTCTGTACATGAAGCCCCTGGAACATTTCCCAAATTTTCAAAAATATTGCTCCATAGTTTTTGATTATTTTTTTCTCGTTGGCTAGTGTGAAGTACGTTTAAAAGAATGCTGCTGTTCTCGTGTTCATTAATAACCCTTTCTCGTGGTTCGAAAATTGCAATAGTTCAATTTTTTTCGGAATATTCCTACAACTAAGGTATTAAGGGTAGCATTTTTTCCTTTAATAAAATCTGTTCCTTAAAGATACATTTTGAAATAAGGTTACGTACAATTTTTTAAATGTTGCATACTTTTCGCTGACACCACTAGTTTTTCTTTATGCTTTTTATTCGGATGTCACTAAAACCACTGAATAGCGTATTACAAACGATACATTGATATTGTTGTTTTTTTCAAAGTACACAAATGTACTTTTTCTAGAATATCTCTCATGCCTTTAATGTTTACATTAGAACGTTTTTATAGATTTATGAGTGCTTATGCTTCAAAATATTTCTACTGACACACTTATACGGTATTTTCTCGAAAATGTCTGTAAAATTGTCAATACAAAACTGCTTTAAGACCAGGTTTTACTATTCTCTAATAGTCTCTCCCATTAAAGCCGGATTCGATAATGTTCGGGAAAATATCTGTCAGTCGCCGGCAAGTACCAGCTTGGAAGAAGGTGGAGCGAATCCAAAAAGCTAGCCGAATTGAAGGGATCAGGAAAGCGAATAGTACGAGAAAGTGTGTGTAATTTTCAAGCACCTTTAGCTGAATTTTTTGTATTATAGTTTTATTTATCATGTTGACTGTTACAAATTAAAGAATTCACTCATAGTGAGTAAAGGGATCAAGAAATATTAAATGAATTATAATTCTTATTTCTCGGTAGTAGTTTGTTGTCATTATTTAATAGAATATTTTATTAGTGTCAACCAAATTATTTGGTTGTTGCTTATTTCTCACCATTGTGTTTGCGTTTGGCGCTTGACTCCACGTGTAGCCCCAAGGATAAAGAATGCACTGCAACACACGTGAGAGAACACATCTTTAATCAATTAAATAAAAATGAGAAATGTAGCAAATATAATAGTACAAAAATTGTAAAAAATTACCGCACGAAAATGTTCATGATTTCATTCCATTTTTTGGCCAAGATGAATCTTTTAAGTTACTGTAAATAACACAAATAGCGCTCGTATGTCAAAACGTTCTGAGTACGCATAACCTCAAAACATCCAACTTTACGACAGAGCTGTCAGTTGTCATATTGCTACACCAGGGTTGCCAAATCCCGAAACATAAAAGGCAACCTTCGTATTGTTGATTCCAGGGTTGTTAATACGGGGGTTATAACGACGGGGGTTATTATTCCTGTAAGTGTAGTGCCTTTTGGTCTTGCCCCGGTGGATGGCCTGATCCGGCGCCGACCCACCGTCGGCCAGCGGTGATTCGCCAATCAGGTATCTGTTAGTGTAAGTGTATGTACGGGGTGAGGATAGGACAAGGAAGATGGAGGAAAGATCGCGCGCGGTCCAGGGCCCTTTTGCTAGGGTGCTGATCCGGCATCCTGGTGTTCATCGGAGAAACCACGGAAAACTACCAACAGAGTGCTGGCATCTACAATTACCTTCCAGACAGTGACCGAATTCCAGCTAGCTGACAAGTTAGTCAACAATCTTGACAGCGACGGGTCTCAAACTAGAAACTCCCAGTCAGAGACGCTGCAGTGCCATCATTTGATGCACTGAGCCTCCTGCCCGGTAGCAACGTTTGCTGAACGGTTGATGAGGCAGCCTCGTTCCATCTGGGCGGTCAGTTGCTCTACAGTTGCATGTCTATTCGCCCGCGCATATCTCCACATCGCGTCGTTCTGGCTTGTCATCTACGGCCCTTGGTGTGCCAATTGCCTCGGCTTTGATTATCGCCAGTTTGCGATGGGTATACTTTAACCACGGTGGCATGCGAATACTTGACAAACTTAGCCGTTTCGAAAATGCTTCCACCCTTGACCCGAAAGTCAATGATCATGTCCTTTTGATGACCGATAAACCGCTTCGTTTGTGCAACGCGATATGCTTTGTATACTCTCCACCGTTAGTGCTATTGCACGTGTACGTCGGCGGTGGCCACATTAATATGACTGGACGATGCAGCTTTCCTTCGTGTCTGGCGCGGCAGATGAAATGAAGCATCAGAGCGAGGGGGAGGGAACTCGCCTACTTTTAATTTGCAATAATCTCGTGACGCCCCCCCCCCATCTACCATTTTGGACGTCACAATCGAAGGCAGCTTAAGAAAATTGACTGTCGCTCGCACATTTCGTCGCTCACGAGCTTCCGCGCCTCGACCCAACGCATCACTCACGTATAACATTTCTATCAAACGAAACAATAACAATATTTACAAATTCACACGAAATAAGAATAAATAAAATAGAAAACTTAGTCTCTGTAACATCTCTATTGTTAGAGAAAAGTATTGCAATGTATAAACCTAAATGAAAATTGAGGTTCAATATTTTTACATTTATCCAAATGCAATGATTTCATTGACGGCATTTTTACGCAATTATTCAACATTCATGCACTGAGTTAAGAATGCAGGTTTGTGTATCCGAAATCTTGTTCAAAACGTCCAGGGAACTTACGCTGGCATAGGAATGGAAGGTGAGATACAACTTGATTCTGGAACCCGATTTAGTCAGTTGCTTCATGACATAGTCACGTAATGCTGCAGTCTCAGGTTCAGAGAAAGGCCGCGGCCCCACGTATGTTTCAGAGCATGGATCAGTGCTTCCGCCGATACCTGAGGACACAATTAGACAGTTTTATTCGATATCGTAGTGAAGTGCAGAGATCGATGCTAAGAGGTAATCTGGCTGCTATAGAAACTCGTAAGCAATATCTTATTGAATGATTACAGCATAGTCGGGATTTGGAACAATTATGCCACCACTACCACTGTGTTGAAATTTTGTGACTTCTTGTGGAGTGAAATATAGAAAAAGGAAAAGCTGTGAAGTTCAAGATAGTATTGCATAGTAGTAAAGAATTAACTTCGTTACTATACAATTTTAAGTTGCATTAAAATATTTGTATAGGATACTAATAAAATTTAGTTCTTGCTCTCATTTGTGGTATTGTTATTAATTACCTTTATTTTTATTGTAATTATTATTATTATTATTATTATTATTATTATTATTATTATTATTATTATTATTATTCTCTACGTCAAGACTAAAGATGTTATGAGTCAGCTGAATATAAAATCTACTCCACGTTGCAACCAGTTATCTTTAAGAATACACCAGTCTGAATCTTTTTTAACTATGTCACAGATAATTAGATAATAATAACAGAACTTGTTTCAATATTTCGTGCTAACTCTAGAAATTAGTTCCTTGATTCTCCATCATGTCAGGTTTTAAACAAAATAAGAAAATATTTTTATACGATTTTAACTAAATAATTCAAACAATATGACATAAATAGCTTACTTTACAACCATTATTGTTCAGTCAATAGCACAGCTTTCATTTTCAAAGGCGTATTTGTATATTCGAAATTGGAAAAATACATTGAAACTGTTTTCTCTACATATAACACTTATTTGTTATTACTGATCCAATTTAAAACATTTGATTTTGTATTATTTACTGTTTATTTATTGCAAAGAATATTTTTATCATCCGCAAACATAACTGTTCTTCCGTTTCGGATCGTCGAGAGCATATTACGTAGCGTTTAGGTGTAGTAGGAAGAAAACAGGGTCTAAAACGAACCCTGCGGACTTCCACATGCAATTAGCAAAGAGGTATAGTCCCAACATTTCAGTACGGCATTTCTACTCTGAGGTCGTTGTTTAAGGTACGAACAAGCGCATTACCAAACTAAAGCATTATCACGAACTCCATATGAAGATAGTTTTGAAACGAAAATGTTATGATCCAAGACGACATAAGCTTTTGAATTCATATTCATAAGATCATATTTCTATTCGACTGTTAGGAATCCGAAAATTGATAAAATTGAGAAAACGTGAAAATATGTCTTTTTGGCACCAAGCAGAGAAGGCGGCAAAACTGAAAATATGTCCGAGACTGAAGAGACCCTCATCGCTTGCAAGTCGGCACTCACCGTTCCAGTGGATGTCAAAGTTGCGGTTGCCGTCCACTCCGAAGCAGCCCTTCTTCTTCGTCTTCGAGCGCGTCTTGCGCCATAAACGGGACTGAAACGAGAGTTGTTGGTCTAATCGAAAACTTTGGTTGGAACATTTTGGTGTTTAGTATTTGAGAAAGAAGGTTAGTTCGATTTTGCTCTATCGCATGTTAAATACAAAGACTGTATTTCTAAAACATGCGCTGAACCAGAAGGGCATCGTGTCCGAATTCAGCCAATGACCTTCAGGCTCCAGTTTGCATCACAGTATTAGCGGGAATTTTAAATACAACCAGTACCAAATTATCACGTTATTACACCATCGTTGAAAGAGATATAGGGGAATATTGTCTTTTTAATATTACATATTTTTAGCCTCCATCGTTTTATTTTGAGGAGTTGAATGTACTGTGTAAAAATATAAAGTTGTCTGGTGGTGCCTGTCCATTAGTGCTAACACGTCGTCTACGTATCTGTGCCAGTACAGGAGATTGTGTTAGAAGTGGATGACGCAGAAGTAAAGCAATGTATTTTCCCAGTTCTCCATAAATATGTCAGCTAGTAAACCCAATAGATCCACTGAACTCTCTTCACCTCAGCTAACAATGAGCACGAAGTTGTACACCCCTAACCCACCCCAGCCCATCGCCCACCCACTAACCTTCGCTCGCCCGACCGTCTCTTCAAGCATTCCCACCAGCACCCACATTTTACGACCCTTCACCCGCACCCGCACCCTCTTCCGCCGCCGCTCCCGCTGCCGACCGCTGCTACTCTTGAAAGCAAGACACACGCTATCAAAAATTCGCAGAACTTTGTTTTCGGCCAGAAAGCGCAAGGTATGTACGATCGCAGGTTTGCTTACGCATCTTGTATTACAATAACCAACCTGTTATATATTTCACATTAATATTTGTATTGGTTTTTAGCTCTGAGGATGAATCGCTACGCGATCGAAATGATCATTAGTTGAATTAAAATATTGATACCTGACACATTCTCTATTTTATTTATCAAAATAAAAAAAGGTATCTACTTCACCAACAATCCTATTAATCCATGTTTTAAATTTTGGTTGGTCAACGATGACAATTGTCACTTTATGCCACTTTCGAAAATGCTTCTCCTAAAATACTAATAACTCGCTCTCCTTGCAATATGACGTCGAGCGTCTGGTCTGGCATTTCAAACGAATTGTCGGTGATGTGGTCACGTGGTTCGTGCCACAAACCGGTGCTGCTAAAAGCGAGCAAAAACCGGTGCACCACAGTTACTTGCCCATATCTTTCCACCATGGTCTGAACACGGCTTGTTTGAACTCTGCAATCTGGATTTTGATTGCAGAGACTAGATATTATCACCGCGTTTCCCCGCGTCTAAAGCCGCTGACTTGGAAACGTGAGATCAGACGCTGCAAGGCCGCAACTGCGTTTTCGTGCAAAGATGAACAACTTCGAGCGGTCGCTGAATTGAACTCAAAGGAAAACTTATCGTCGCAGGCCTCTGAAAACTTTGGGTTACTTGAAAAACCGAAGGTTGTTTGCTTTCTCGAAGGATACTACTCTTCATATCGCAGAAATTCTGATCCCTTACATCGAACACCTACGTAGATGCAAGAGGTTTGGGTTCACGGGTGGTATATCAGATATACATTGCTTTGAGATAAAAAAAATGAATTTTCTTTATCGAGCGTACTATTCATGAGTTGATGTTTTCTACGCCAGCGATGTGGGAGCGAGTGTCGGAAATTCTAAGAGTTAATAATAGCCGTTCTACGGGAGTAGAAGACTACACTTTCTCTACGAAATACTAATTGGGCGCCTTAACCTTACAGAACGGTTACAGAACTCCCAATGTTCTCCGACCCTAACAAACACTAACTCTCAAAGTCTTACGTGGTTCACCCCTCTTACGACAGTTGCGACTTGTCGCGGCAGAGCGTCAGCGCCTCTGTCGACGCCTGCGAGAACCAAGACAACTGCGATTGGTCGACAGCCGTGCGATAATATTCTCGTACGGCTTGTGGAATAGGCACCATTACTGCATCCGATAACGGACAGAAATGTCTACATTCTGGAGTGAACTGCCCCCCTCCCGCGCCTGGCGGGCAGTCTCCGCTTCGCGCCCTCCAAGATGGCGCGCGGGCGGCTCTCCCCACGGCGACCGCGCCACGCCTCTCCAAACAACAGGGCAGCCCACATATTTCCTATGACAGAGCAGCCAATGACAAATGGGCTTCGGAACGTTCCACCTGATGGGAAATACCGGCAAAGGTGGCTCAGGGCATCAACAGATGTCACTGAAGTGCCTCTGAATGGAAGGCCCTAAGGTTGCATTCCCGACTACCGTATAGCAGGATTTCCCACCCTATCTGCATAACTTGGCCGAGTTCAGTTGCTATCTGGAGAATTCCAGCGGCCAGTTGCTTTCATCGGTAGATTTCCCTGCTTTCTCCAATCAACTCCATGCGAATGCAGGAGTAGTTCCCTAGAAAACAGGCCACAGACAGCGCGCGATCATTTCTTCGCATTTCTTGTTCTAATGTATCCTTACCCCTCTCTTACAAACACTAACTGCCCCTCACATTCCCTACACAATCACACATCACACTTGTCGGTAGGCCGGTCGGGAGTGCCTCGCTGGTGGGAGACGCGTGGTTGGCGTAACTCTCGCAAGCCCGGGTAGCGGGCGCCGAATCTCACCATCCAGCGGCGGATGACCACCGCCGCCTCCCGCGAAAAGAGCAATTTATTTCATCAGAAGAACATTATTACTGCAGCAAAAGAAACAGCGTTTTCTCCGTCGACGTAAAAGAGGGACAATTTAAATTCCCCACCGAGGGACACTTCTGAAACGATCTGATCTTTTATTTGGGCGGACGCTTCGATCCTCCGCCTCGCGTTCTTCCACCTGCTTGTGTTACGAGTGAACGCCCCGCCGCCGCCATCGCCCACATCGCCCACATCGCCCACATCGCCCCATCGCC